CTATGTCCTTTTTTATATCTGGCTTTTTTGTCCAATATTATGTTTATTAATTTCTTTGATATTGCATTTATTTGTGATTTAGTTGAGCTCTATAATTTGAGATTAATAGGAATCATTCTTCTATGAGTAGTCTAGCTTGTGTCTTATGATGAACATATAAACATATCTTCAATTCTGAGAACAATTATGTTCTGTTTTAGTAGACACTGCCAAGTATTTTTTGCAATTAACTATACCCATTTATGCTCCCATCAGTAGTGAATGAGAGTTTTGGCAACGACACATGCACCAACACTTGGTATTTTCCATCTTTTTCATTTTATCTATTAATTATGAGATGTTTTATTGATTTTAATAAGTATTTCCCTAATTTCTATGAAAGGCAGTTGTTCATTTGGATATTCTCCTTTGTGAATTGTTTGTTCAATTCTTTTTAATTTTATTCTATTATGTTACCTGTCTTTCTCTTATTGATTTTTGGAAGATTTTGGGGTTTTTTTGTTATATTTGTTATTTGTTATATATTTAATCTGGCTGAGTCATTTGTCACATATACATACTTATTCCTACAGGGTGACTTGACTTTTCACTATCTTGGTGGTGTCATTTAATGTACAGGAGTTCTCAGTTATCATCTATTGCTATACAGTTAGGGGCAGGGTTATGGTTAGAGTTCAGAACTTTTGAGGGACTGGTTTAAGCAAACCAGCCTACATCGAGGTCATCGAAATGTTTTCCTATATACTTCTTGAATAATATTATTACTTTATCTTGCACATTTCAATATGTAGTTCATCTTGAATTGATGTTTGTATATAGTGTGATGTAAAAGTGAAGATGCATACATAACACATATGTGCTTTTTCTCTATGGCTATTGACACAGGATTATTCATTGAAAAGATCATTCTTTCCCCACTACTTTGCTGAGTGACCTTTGTCACAGATGTGTTGACTGTATATTTGTGGGTGTCCTTCTGAACTCTCCATTATGATCCCATTAGTTAGTTAGTCCTTGTATTAGTATCATATGATTTTAATTATATGGTTTTATCACAAGTCTTTATATATCTACCATCTTTAAATGTTTAGCAATCTTCTATTGTATGCTAGACAGCATAGAAAAGATTCACAGAGAATACAAATGATGCTGTTTTCCAAAAGAGAGGATTTCTCTTTTTCTCTGCTAGGATCAAATAGGATGGGGAGATGATACTCAGTTGTATCAGGGACTGATCTGAATTTTGTCTAGGTTTCAGCTTGGCAAGAGTCAGTCTTTTGGTTAGCCCCTTCTACCATGGTGTGATTCTCTGGGGCTTTTGATTGACATTCTGGTGTCCCTGGTGTCTTCAGCTCTGGAAAACAGCTAGAAATTCAGTTTTCTTCAGATATTCATCGTAGCTTTGATCTCCCACCCCATGCAATATTTTCCCTCCTTTTCTTTTGGTAGAAAATGCCTGTGGTTTCATGTGCACCAAACCTCCAACCTTGTCACTCCAGCCTTGCAAAACCAAACTAGGTGTTAAGTTTGCCTGTCACCTGAGGAACTGTAGCTCTCTGCCAATAGTCCAGGCTGGTCTCAGGCTCTAACTTTGCCCAATATTAGGATGTGTCCCTATGTGAAATGTGATGTAGAATCTCAGTATCAATTCACCATTCATTCTAGGGCTTCAGTCAGTTCCCCGCACTGGGCCCCTGCCTCCTCCACCTGGTAGGCTTTGTGTTCTAAGCCAGCAAGACTGATTGACCTCTTTGTGTTCCTGTGCAAATGTGTGGCAGAGCAAAGTGGACATACAAAGCTCTTAGAATGGAAGGCTAACCTAGGCAAAAAGTTATGGTGGCCGAAATTCGTAGGTTCCTTATACAGATTGGTGGATGTAGATTAAAGTTGAAACATTTGATACGTAATTTAAGATGTTTAATCAGTAACCATGGGGAATCCAGGAAGGAGGGAGGGTAAGAGAAAAGGAGGGCAATGCCCAGGCTTCTAGCTATGGCTGTTGAGTGGCTAATGGCAATATGTATTGTGACAGGGGACAAGTTAAGGTTCAGGATTTGGGGTTCACAGTACTAAGGAAGAAAAGTGGCTCTACTTTGCTGTTAAGTTGCCCTCTACCTTAATGCAAGTGAAGCCCTAATATCACTGCGGGTAACTGTGTGACTATGTGCGTGTGTGTGTATGTTTTTGCATATGCACACTTGACTTCAGCTTGCTACACTTAGTCACAGGAGTGAAATCTCTTCTGTCCTCTGTCCTCACTACAGGAGTTTAAATCAAGGAGGGCCATATAGAAGCTTTGATATGGTGATCTTCTGTGGCTTTACTGAGACCTATGTGCTCAATAAAAGTTCCATGTGGCTCCTTGCAAAGTCCATCCTGGGCACCAAATACAAATCCCATGTGGTTTCCGACAAGTCCATTCTGAACAAAATAATGGATGGGTGCTATGGCCTCTCCCTGAAGGAGAAGGTATAGGTCAGAGTGGGACAGCACTGCCATGAGCAGAGCCATCCCCAAGGTTGGGGACCCCACTGTGGTCCCCTAGAAAGTCATCATCTCCTCATAGTAGCAGAGATGAGCTCCAGTGCTGATTCCTTGTATCATCTGCCATCTCACTGAAGCCTCCTGAATGAAGTGTGCATTATTAACTCAGATGTTCAAGGAAAGTATGTGAATCTAGACTGCTGTAAACCTCAGATGAATTAAGTCAAGGCAACTGGACTGGTGAATAACTTAAACTTCAGTGATAATTGCTCAGCCAGTTTTATCCTCCAAATCTGCTACTAATGGAATAATTTATGTTGCTTATCCACCCTTTCTTGAAATATCCTAATATGAAGCAGTTCTCACAAAAGACTATAAGATGCACATGTTAATTACATGGCAAAGAGGGTTTTTTATGTTAAAAAATAAAATTGGAAGAATCGCTCAAAGTCTTCTGTCCCACCCCAGTAAACTATCAGCCAATGCCCTATGACAGTAAGTGCCCTTCTTGTGAGGTGAGGGGCTCATTTATTTAATTTGTAATGAATTAATAAATGAGTGAGAAATTAAGGCTGCCCCATTCACTGCTGATTTTCTTCTCTCATATGTTGCTTCCTCAATGTTACTCTGCATTTAAGTGTCTCAGGAGAGAACCTAAGGTTGAAATTGGGTCTCGGTGCGGCAGACTGAAAGGGTGCAAGACACGGTGTATAAAGAGCGTAGAGGATTCACCCTGATTGTCAGTGATTTGACCAATGCCTCCCAGCAATGACTTCTAATGCTCCATTCCCGCTGAAGTTATGAATGTGGCTAATGGAATAACCTAATTAAGAAACCAGCTTAACCGACTCTGTAGAAAGCACAACTTTAGATTGAATTGGTGGGTTTCTATTAATAATAGCCAACTACTAAATGTATTCAGGCTATTTAGGTAATGGCAGGGACTTTCTCTCACTGATAGATTGTAACAGAATCCCAGGAGGTATCATTTTCTATTTCGGAACGTGTGGTGAGGTTTTTCCAAGAGCTGGCGCCTCTGTATCCCCAGGGTCTCTGTCCAGTGAATCCCTTGCCATGTTAGCATGAGTAGTTGGTTTCAGGTTCAAGTCTAATTCTCCTGAAAACAGACCACTGTTTTACACTGGCTTGGTGTCACGGACTTCCTGGTGCTGCTGACTTCAGAGCTTCACTGAAAGCATCTCCATGACGATGAAAATTTATTGAGTGCCAAGGGCTGGCTCAGTTCCTTCCTACCACATCAGCTGCCTGTATGATGCATATTCATTCATTCTATCTATCTATCTATCTATCTATCTATCTATCTATCTATCATCTATCTCTATTTCTATCTCCAAAGGCTCTTCTTGATTAAAATATGAATTTGCTCTTTTACTGAAAGGCTTGCCTCCATTAGTTTTACCTGGTCTGTGGCTTTTGGGTTCCTCATAGTTAATAAGAAGGTAACATGGAGACCAAACCTGAGAGAAGCCAACCCGCTTCCTTGAGAAGGACATAACCTTGTTGAAAAGTGATTGCAGACATCAGTAAAATTATATGAGGGAGGATAAAACACCTCATTAATATAGAGTCGGGTTTATCCCATTTATGAGCTTCACTTAATTGTTAAAGGCTAAAACATTTGGAGAAAATTTTAACAACATTCTACTAAGGTCAAAGTAGCTAAGATTAAAGTTTAAATGGTTTTATCTATTGTGTTGTTTCAAGAGCTGTCTCTCCGTTTGGGGAGGTAAACTGAGGTGTGAGGTGTAGAGGCCTGGACTCAAGTCTGGAGACTTGCTTTCTATTCCTCTGCTGTTAGCTGGCTGTGTGACCTCAACCATGGCCCTTCCTTCCTATAAATAAGGAGATAAACATACCATTTCCCAAGTTGGTTGTGAGGCCTCCATAAGCTCTGAGAGCGGCTGACCCAGTGGAGAGCCTAACTCACTGTGGATATCCAGTGGACATTTGGTTCAATATCTATGTCAGTCTTTTCTATGAGAGTTTGTTCAGGAAGCTTCTGTGAGCCAGGGAGTTTCATGAGATGCCGGTGGTCATTATTTGTGAGCCCTGGTCATCCTTCTTAGGCTGGGGAGGATCATTAGACCTGATCTAGATGACTAGGGTTTTAGTTCTGATTTGTCCTTCATTAATTACTTGTGTGACTTTGGGGCAAATCACCTTCCCTGAGCACTTAGTAACCTCACCTGGGCTATAAGCATTATACTGCAGTCCAGCATAGCAAGGATTCTGAGTGAGACTGCTTGAACTTGAATCTCAGCTCTACTACTTATTACATGGTAACCTTGGGCAGGTTACTGAAACTTCTCTGTATGTGTTTTCTTATCTATAAAATAAGCATGATAATAGTCCCCTCATAAGATCTTTAAGAGGCTGACTTGAATCACTGCATGGAAAATGCTCTAGCAGAGTGCCTGGTACATGATATGTGTTCAATAAATGTTAATTGAAATGCTTTTTATTTCTTCCTACCCCTCACTTGGATGAAATCACAGATCATGGAAATCAGAATGCCGAGTACCCTGTTCATACAACTGTTAATGCCACGATAGTTCACTGAAGAAAAAGAAAACCTGTCTAATGCTCCCCATTTTATTTTACCTGAATATTTTTTTCTATTTTTTTCCCTTTCCCCTAATTTCTGTTTGTGGCAGAGCCGCAGCAACAACAGCAATAATAACTACAGTTTGGGGCCAAATTGCCAGAAACCAAGGATGACAAAGACCATCCTCTACTCAGGTCTCTGCTGTGCCCTGGTTTTCTTTGGCAGGAATGCCTCACGTATTTTCTCAAAAGCCACACAGCTGGGAGTGCAGCGGTTTTCCTGGAACCCAAGGCACAAGGCTCCTGCTTCCCTTATGGCAGGCTCAAGTTCTCATTCAGGGAATCAAGCATTTCTTCATCCAAGCGGAGGCGCCTGACCTGCCCCTCCCTGTTTCAGCAGCTCACACACACCACTCAGACCCCGTCAAGGCAAGGGAAGGCTGCACGAAATGTCTCCCTGAGCCCCGGGAGGGAGCTCAAACTGCTCAAACTGCCTCTCAGAGGACAAAGCTTTGGACTGGACTGTGGCTTCAGCTGTGACTCTTTTCCCTGTGGATGACACAAGAAGGTGCTCCCTGCAGAATGTAACCCAGTCACAAAGGCCAAAGGCTGAGGCGAAGTTGCCACTTTCCTTCCAGTTTATCACTCGAGGGTCTGTCCGCCGGAATCCTTGTTAGGTTTATGGGTATCCTGGCTTTGTACCTATACCCTGGCATTTGAGTGCATATGCCGGAGCTGACAGCTTTCACTGGTTGGAAGTTGGTGGTTCTGCCCGTCTCTAGCTGTCTGACTTTGGGCATTCAGTTCATGTCTCTGCGCCTCAAATGCCTCATCTGTATGATGGGAGTGGTCATGCTTGTCCTGCCTGCGTGGTCAAATAAAATTTCATCTCTGTAAATCCGAAACCTTGGGGTCCCAGAGCTGGGTAGGAAGCTTGCATGTCATCTAACGCAGCCTTTCCCTGTTGCAGGTGACCATCCCCTCACCAACAAGCTGGACTAATGATGCTCTGCTTGGGCTCTCAATGGGCTAATGGGCTTTCACTGGCTGGGGAGCTGCCCACAGCAGCTCTGATCCTTAGAAAGTCTTGCCTTGTGCTGGGCTGCAATGAAATCTGAGCCCTTCAGTAGCTTCCTCCTGCTGGTTTCTGTTTCAGTTCTGGACCCAACACTACATTGACTCCCAAAGGAGTTCTGGATATTGAAGACTACTGTAAATACATATATGTATACCATCACGATTTTCTTAACTGGCAACCAAGTCATCTTCTCAGGCCCTTTGCCTGCTCTGCCTTTGGGGTTCTGATCGGGATTGTTTAACTTGGAAATAATTTCCCCCCTTATTGCCTAGAATTATTTTTAATTCTGGACAATAATATAGATGCATCAAATTTTAGTAAAAACATTTTTAAAAGGCCTAGAAAAAAATCTAAAGAATGTAATTAAAGTTATTTGCAACCCATCTTAGCTGTATAAATAAATACATAATTAATTAATTAATTAAATTATGTCTGTATACCTTACACCTTGGTTGTGTTTCCACGTATATGGTTACATGTTTGTGTGTAATTGTTGAAATTATGCAACACACGGTGCTGCACTTCAGCATTTGCTCTCTTACTGGACATTTTATTGTCTTTGCCATGCCAGTTATTTATAAGTCTTACAAGGCTTGAAATATAATGTTCTATTGATTGAATACACTATCATTTGCTTAGTGGACCCCCTCTACAGCCCTGATTTGTAGCCAGTTTTCAGGAGCTTCAGGGCTATTCTCCTTGAGGAATGGAAAGATGGCAGAAGGCAACATTTCCAGATTCCCACAGCAGGAAATGCTTTTCCAAGTGTTAGGGTAATTCTTTCACCCCTTTCTTTTTTTCCTAAGTGGGCAGAATTAATAGGACACGTAGGTCAGACTGTATTAGATCTCAAAAGCTGAAAAAAACCCATGTGAGTGTGTGTGTGAGTGTGTGTGTGTCAGCACGTCACAGATTCATATTTAAAATGCTATACTGGTAACTGCTGTGGTCAACAAGAGGTTTGGGTTTGTTTCATTTACTGTTAAACTGGGCCCACCAAGAGCTTGAGCTGCTGCTTTTCTCTCATATTAAGGATTTTCCTTGATCAAGGAAATTCAAGTATCAGGGAATTGCTGTCCTTCAATGTCAGGAAGAGAGCATTTGATGCATTTGAACCCAGAGCTAGAAATCAAAATTTCCCAGATACGTCTTCCATTAACATAATCTGGGGGCTCCCCTGTTTGGTACAGCCTAGCTCTGACAGCACGAAGGCTCCACTGTTATCTGGGGTACTTGTTAAGGGGGCGGTATCCCCACTCTCTGCAGACTTACAGAACCAGTCGCCAAAATAGGGGAATTGGAATCCATATTTTTCACAAATGAATTTCATCAGGTAAATTTAAGAAATGAATCATGACACAGACACAATAAGATTCCTAGTCCCTCAGCTTCACCTGAATATAACTGCTTTCTCTTGTCCCCACACCGATATTTCTGAGTCTCAGTGTCTTAGATATTGGGCTTTACTTAAACACCTGTTTCAACTTTGCTAATTGTGAAAATCACACAGATGGAGAGGAGCAGCTTCATAAACCTGTAGCCAGGCTGACGGAAGGAATTTTGCCAATATGGAAGTGACCATTTTTGAAAGAAGCATCCCACATCTCCCCAAAGGCACTGCCACAAATAGAGAAGCAGCTGCATTGCTCTGTCATGGGCCAACACCGCCCTTGTGAAATGGATAAAAACTGTTGTCACCTATGGGGACTGGATGATTTGAGGCAGTAGCATATGGCTGACTGTTAAATCAAAATAAAAGCAAACAGAAACTTCTGGTTGCTTAGCCACAGTAGAGTTCTCAAAAGCCAATACAAAAGGTTAAGCCCGGACACAACCTCACTCCATCTGTGTGCTTCGTCTCCAGCCCAGGAACACAGCCGCCGTATCGGGCCTGGCATGCTTCCAACACGCTGTCTGTCCAGAATTTCTTGATGTCTCAGGTTTCTGTTTGTGCAGATGAGAAATTGCTAATCATGTATCTCACATGCCTTTTAGGATGAGACGTCACCCACCAAGATGACCTCTTGTTCCCAGGGGTGAGGGTGCCCATATCGGGTGGGCAGGTGTTTCATGGTGGTGGGCTGCGGTACAAAGGAGTGGAAGTTCCTCCCCAGCCCATGGTATAATTTCAACAATCAGCAAAGCCAGATCTTTACACCTCTACCTTTCGTCCTAACACAGACAGAAATAATAAGAATTACCTTATAAAAAACCAGAGAAGGGAGAAGCTATGGGTAGGAGTAGGAGAGATGAGTCTTCTCTACTCTTCGCACCTTCAAACACTCACAAGTGTGGTTATTCTGAGTCTGAAAGTCGTGAACTCTTGAAAATAACAATAGCTTCCATTTTCTTTGTAAGGCTGTTGAATTTTGTGGATGGGAATTATAGGTACATGGCTTCCAGCAGAGCAGGGGCCACAGCAAAGTGAGGGCATCCCTCCATTAAAGCCTTGTCATCTGCAAAAAAATGCGGGACCTCGGGGCCATTTGCCCATTGCACGTCTTCTGAGGCATCAGAGAAATCTGAAGCAGATTTCTCATACACGTGCACAGTTCTCCCATGGAGGAAGAGGGAGGCAGAAATGGCCCCTCTAAGTAAGTAGCTCTGAGCATGTTGGGTCCATGAAACCTTTTACAAAAGCAGGTGGGCACTCCCAGAGTCGGCGTGTTAGTCCAGCCCAGAGGGTCATCGGTCTGGAAAACCCTTTCAGTAAAGGGCGTAAGTACTGCAGAGATGGCAGGCTCACTCGGTGCCCTGCAGCAGGACCTGAGGAGACAGGCATATGTTCTCAGAGCACAGCCGTGGGTCACAACCAGCACAGGCAGAGTCAGCACAGGGCAGACCCGATGGGCCCAAACAGGAGGACAGGTGTCAGAGGGACACAAACTCCAGAGGCAGAACTAAGTAGGTGGTCATCAGTCTCACGAAAAGCAAGTGACTGTCGGAAGTCAAAAGGGCAGTCCTGGCAAGCAGTGCAGGGCTGGGAATAAGAGGCCGCTTTCAGCCTTAGCAGGCTTGTTTCATCCCAGGGGCCTTTGTTCTTGGCAGGAACACTGTTTGGACTTCAGCGTCCGTTTGGGCCTCACGTGTGGTATGAAATAAAAGGGATGAAATGAGGGATGGGGGTCAGTGGGGAGCTCTCATCTCCCCTCTTGGAAAGGAAGCTCGGCTCGCAATTCCCCTGCCGGAAGCTCCACAGAGGGTGGCAGAGTCAAGACGCCTGTCTCCTTGGAGTCTCAGTGCGCAGCTTCTTGATGTTTGTGGCCACAGCGACCTGACCCAGTAACCCTCACAATCGGGAGCCTTTCAGTAGAGTTCTGCTCAGTGGATGCTGGGTCTGTTCCCCTGCCTGCTCTGAGAAGAGCTCGGACAGGAACTTAAAGTTCAGGGGCATCGGGATTCTCCAAGAAGAGAGACCAGACCCACCTCCAAAGCACTGACACATTGCTATATTAAGATGTCTATCTATCTATCTATCTATCTATCTATCTATCTATCTATCTATCTATCTATCGTCTATCTATCTAGATCTGTATGTAGGTATCTCTGTCTCTATATCTATATCTACTCTTCTACATTTCCTTTTCTTCCCTTTCTTCTTCCCCAATACCTTAAACATTTTTTTTCAATTACAGTTGGCATTCAATATTACATTAGTTTCAGATGTACAGCATACTGGCCAGGCCTCTGTATAACTTGTGAAGTGATTCCCTCGTGAGTCTAGAACCCACCTGTCACCATGTAGACCATATTTCCCCATGTATAAGATGCTCCCATGTATAAGACACACCTTAATTTGGGGGCCCGAAATTTGAAAAAAAATGTATTACATAAAGTTATTGAACTCAAGTTTTATTCATCATAAAATTCATACAACTCCTCTTCACTGTCAAAACTCCCAACCATTAGCTTGTCCTCATCTGTGTCTGATGACAAATCACCGTCTTCACATATTGCCTCGTCCTCAGTTCCATCTATAGCATTTGAAATCTACAACCACTGTATAAGACGCACCCAGTTTGTAGACCCCAAATTTTTCAAAAAAGGGTGAGTCTTATGCATGGGGAAATACAGTAGTCATCACAATATCGTTGACTGTATTCCCTATTCCCTATGCTGCACTTCCCATTGGGGGGGGGGAGGAGAGGGTTAGACTGTAAAAATGGCAACATGACTAAAATATTGTTTCATATTGTCTTGTAAACTTTTCACTCCTTATTCTTTTCTTCTGTGGTTGCTGAGTATGATCCAAGAATAAAAACCACTACACAGACTACATGCCCACTAGAAGCGGAAAATTTGGAGCAGCCCCTGGGAAGCCATGTAACCCTGGCCAGTGACAGTAAAGCTGTCAGTGCGTCAGTGTGATTACGTTCCAGGGGATGGTGCACCACTCATGAT